TTCTTATATTATTTTTATGTCATTTGTCGTAAATTTATTGTCTAATGAAGTATCTCATCGAAATACGAAACATTACTAATTTCTAATAATAAACTATTAATTAATAGTCTAAATTAGATAACATTAAAGAAGAGAATTAACTTATGTCCAATATGAAATCAAACTTCTGAATAAAACACGCATTGCAATAAATNTTTTGATTTTCCATCAACCAGACCGTACGCAAATCGATCAAAAATATCCATTCTTCAGAGCTATCCTTTCGGAATTGAGAATGACTTTATTTCACTGTTTAACAATGTAAAGAATAGAAATATGCTTTTGATTGTATCTATACAGGATAAATAGTTAAATATAGAGAAGAGACTTGACACAAATGACATTACATGTAAAGTTCAGTAGTTCAGTGGGTTGATGTAGCAAACTGACACTGAAACCCAAACACAATACTCACACCCACACCCCATTTGATATCAGCATATAAACAAATTTTTGTCGAAGTTCAGAACTTATGAAATACCCTATTTACTTTACATATCACTTATGAGTCAGGCAAAACTCGAAAACAAATAAATAGCTATAAAATATATTACTCAAAAAGCATCTAGGGTAATTATCATTAGAATTTAGATTTCAAAAATCGATTTTGTCACCTAGCTGTCCGTTGTGCGGTTTCATTTGACACCTATTGCATTTTCTGTAGTCACTCTTCGAAAAGCTAATCTGTTTGTCGGGGTGTGGGTGTAGTTGTAGAACTTGTATGCATTGACGCCCACGGCCTCACTGGCAATGCACACCGGCACGCATATCCTACAATTAGTTTATAGATTCAGTTTCATGTTTATGATGACATATATAGTTTATGTTGTTACTTGTTTCAGGTTTATATATTCATTCATAATTTACTACTCATGTCTTGTCTTCGTGGTCATACCATCAAGCTCTTGCCTATTGGTTGATAATGGTCCTATAATGACCGAAAATCCTTGTTTGTTTTCTCTTTTTTTTTTCTTTCAAATAAAACTCTTGCTACATCCTTTTATACCTATTTAGGATACTATGTATTTCATGGAGTAAAGTCAAAGAAAAGTTTAACCGATCAAACTGAAAGTTTCACGTAAATCTACCTTCACTTTTTAATTTGGCCGAAATGTCCCTCATTCTTTTTTGGGGTTTAGAACTTATGAAACACCATATAAAAATATGATACTATTAAGTTGACTTGAGTTATTTTCAACCCAAAAAATGAAGAGCATTTTAGCTTATGCAGTCGCTGTAGAAGAGTATCAGTTGCCTTCTCTTGCGACTTAATATTCAAAATATTACTTCGTTTGGTTATAAAAATACTTTCGAAAAACCATTTTCCGATGTCGACGCAGAAGTCATTGATGGTCACTTTACAGCATAGACAAATGAATATAAGTACTTTATCGAATAAAAAGGCAGACATGTGCTCCGTATTCTCAATGCTAATGCAAGCGAAAATTACAATTTATTTTTAAATAAGAGAAAATCATGTCCTAATTTTGGGCCTAATTAAAAACCAATCTTGTGTAAGTTTTATTTTGTCTGTGACATATGCTTCATATCTCAGAATACAATCAAGACTATGCTACTTAAGTGAAACTTATCTCATACATGTTGTGTTGAAGATCAATTTTAGGTTCGGATCGGCGTTAAAAAAATACACGTTAGGCTTTCCTGGAACGGTTGCGTGAGAAAATTCCAGATCTAGAGTGTGGCAATCAACTGATAGGTAAATGATCTTCTTGACGCTATATATAGATATCACATGTATCTGTCTTTGAGAAAACAAGCAGGTAGCAACGAGTAGAACATGAAATTTCTTCTTGATGAGTTGCTAAAACTTGAGTGAAAAAAGAAGAATGGATGTTTTTGAAGCCATTCCCAATTAACAATGACTTAATAAATCCGCCTTTTCTCCTGGTTTTCACCGATCCAAAAGATTTTTTAAACTGGTCGGTCACTGGCCGAATTCGATCATTCTAAAATTTCAATCTGTCAAACCGAACAAGGTCAACAATGCTGAGCCAGTTGCAACTTTGAGTTGGTTTCTATTCTTGTTATTGGAAACATCATAAATCAATTGAAAATTAGGTTCATTACAATATAGATATCACAGAAAAAATGAATATCTAAATTGGTAGACGTTCAGAACAAAATTTGGTCATCGGTATCAGTTTTATTTTATGAAAAAACTTTGTGAACTTGCCGATTTTTACCGTTCTGAAAATATTTTTGAACAGGTCAGTCACCGACTGAACCGAACTGGTCTAGTGTTTCTTGGCTGGTTACAACTCTGCTTCACATCCGTACCATCATGCACAACCACCCCGAAAAAACAAGCACTTCACTTTTCGAAACTAGAGCTTTACATATCAATAAAGTGTTCTTCTAAACTATTTTGATTCGAAAATATCAATTAATTCTAAACTTTGTTTATCCATGTCTTCACAAGGAACTAACAGTCACATGTTATTTTATGTTTTGGTAATGAATTATTCTATGCTAGCTATATGTAACTAAAGGTAAATGTTGTTTGAATTCTTCTCATGATTTTACTGTCGTGTTTATTCATTGATATTGTTTATCAAATAAACAAGAGACGAACTCATCGAACGAAGTTAACAAAATTACATAATATAATTTCTCTCTTTATGAAATACACGAAAAAAAAATTTTAACAAAAAGGTAAAGAATTGTTCTAAACGAGTTTTGATACTTCATCAGTTAAATCTGCTTGAATTTTAGCAACTTTACGTGGTTCAACAGTTTTTGTCATTTGACATGCCATTTGACAATCAGATATAGGTACAAGTTTTTCACCTAGAAATACAAATTTTATCTTTTTTTTTTTTGTTTCCCGTCATTTTTAATATTCACTTACCAGCTACTGAACGAGCAGTAATAACACCAAGATTTTCTTCTGCTGTACTTAATAGATATGCATTAGCATCACCAAGTGCTATTATTCCTAAAATATCAGGTTTTGTCTTATTAAAAATATTAAATATTTAAATAAATAACATACGTGCAAGTACAATATCATCTGGTCGAAATTTTGTACTACATACAACAGAATCTTTATTTATACTTTCAATATTTTCTCGTGTAATGCGTCCGTGACATGGTGTTTTTAATGATTGATTATTAATAGCAAAAACAAGACAACGTACAAAACGCGATGTTACATTGGTTATTTTACAATAGGCTAATGAACCAACGGATGGAACAGCTAAAGAACGATCTTGACGTATTACAGATATGATGGGCTTTTTATCTGAATTATTCGAGGATTGATCAACTGCTGTAAGTTGAATAGTACCAGCAATACTTGCGTAAATACAATTTTGTTTTTCATATGTTCCAGGACCTGCTGTAGCACGATCACATGGACATAAACGATCACCTGGCACACAATAATATTCAGATGATGACATCTGAAAAATAAGATAGAATCAAATGAATTTATTTATAGAAAACAAGAACAAAGAATGATCATGTTTGATTTAGACAGAAAAAAAAATCTTCGACTGATTATTCTGACATTTAGCTTTTATTTGAAATAGAAAATAAGAAAACTTTCAATTTGTATCCATATCTATATTATTTATTGTTGTTTTCACACTATGACGTTGAATCCATAAATCACGTATTTTATTTTTCCATCGTACTCGTTTATTTTCAGGATCTTCAAGGAGTAAAGGACCAGCGAAAGATGTTGTCGAATATTTTGATGATTGTTTAAAACTATCCCATATTTGATTTTTTTGTTGTTCTATATAAGAAAAAGAAAGAAAGGGATAATTTTTAATTGATTTAAAGGATTTACCTTCGACTGTCTTATCACCGAATATAACAGCATCATGACGTCGATCATTAGCTTCAATTATTCGTGATGATTTTTCGGAATTCATTGATTGTGGTTGACGTTCAACAATTAAATCTCCATCATCGTCATCAGCAATTTCATTAATACGCTCTTGTCTATCAGATTCATAGAGATGAAAATTAAAATTTTGTTTTGTATCATCAGAATTATTCGATGATTTATTAAATGCTTCACGAATTATCATTTTTGCTTTATCATGATGAGAATAAGATAAAGATTTTTCTTCTCGACGATGTTTATGAGACATTTTGTTTATCTAAAAAAAACTTTTAAAAATCGAAATCAAAAATTCATATAATTTAAAACAACTTCTATCATCTATTTTACGAATAATAATTACTTGTTTACTATTCCGGAGGGAACTGAGTCTAAGTACACATATGTATTAGTGTTAAGCTAGATCATATATGAGCTGTAGTCATCATGAATACCAATGTTTTGCAAGTGAAAGTCAATTAAAATGATATTCAAAGGAGTTCTTCAAGTATCAGATTAGACTAGTCCGTTGTCTGAAAATATACATTGAGCAGAAATCGACTAAAGTTTGAAGACATACTATTCACATGAGATTTATCATGCGTCAAAGTTTTAGTATAAGTCTTGATGGATTTGTTTTATGACATTGATACTCAAAACATTAAGATATCCATTATCTAAGACCTCTAGTAAAATATGTAAACAAACAGAATAACTCTTAAAATATAGCTATTAAACTTATCCGTTGATTTTTAATATCATAAAATTAATCAGAATCATGACATTGTCAAAGACAAACAAGTCTTCACAAACAATATCCAATTTTGAATTTTTATATTTTCTCCAAAACATTAAAAAAACTTTGTAATAACACATTAACAATTGAATAAAAAAACCATCCATTCACATGATGTCAGCAGTATCTAAATAAAGATGACGCTGACTGTGTCGCTTGTATATCTAAAGAAGCATATTCAATAATGATTGGAATATGATGATTTTGTATAAAATACAGAATACTCATCATCGTTGTTGTTTTGCTTATTTTTATCTGAAAATTTAAAAAAACTGACTATATTAAATTCTTCTAGAGACATTTTTTCTTACAAAAATGGGTGCAAGTGAAACAAAAGAACAACCACGTAACATAACCATCGACAACCCACTTCTTATGACTGAAGCTGCACTACAACAACTTCAATCATCTGTTGGTAAAAGTGTTCCACAAGCTGTAACTCCTCGTACATCAGGTACTGATTCATCAACAAATAATTTGCCATTACCAACTATTGATACAACAGCATCAGTTGAAACATGGCGTGCACTTGCATCATCAGTTAATGATGCTGAATTGCAACGTTTAAGACAAGAATATAAACAAAAACTACTTGACCAAGATCAACATAATCGCGAAAAATTAAATTTAACTAAAGAAAATTTAGCTGCAGAAATAGAAAAAGTTGAAAAAAAATTTTCCAAATATATTTATTCACCCATATGTGAAATAGAACGTTCAGACATTGAACAATGTTATTTAGCTAATCCAAAACAAGTTTTAAAATGTTCATTATTAGCTGAAAAATTTATTAAATGTGTTGAACAACATCGTGAACAATCATTACGTATACCTCAAACACAAATTATTTCATCGAACAATACAGAAGTTCCTGAACAACATGCATATGTTGATCCACTTTCAGCTAAAACATCTCCAACTGCTGATTCGAATTAATCCCATTCATAAACATTTTTCCTAGTTTAGTCATTAGACATATATCCTAACTTTCTTTTTTTTTTCGTGTCTTTTGAACTAGTAAAATTGATTTATCCCTTATTTCTGCTGAATATTTGTCTCTTTCACATTTGGGTTTTTTTAGATTATTGTGTTATTTTTTGTAAAAAAAAAAAGAAAAGTTCTATGTTACCAAATATTTCAATCCATCAATTAATAAATCAAAATGAAAATGAATGGTTTACATGTGCTGATATTAATAGTAAGCAGGAAATAGTCTGTGGAACAGATCAAGGTATTATTTATCAAACACAATTACCATCGAACGGAAACAGTTCAACTTATAAGCAATTGATAGGTCTGTGGTAATAATAAAAATTAAAAAAAAATATGAATCTGTTGGATAAATATTTCATCTTACTTTGTAACAAGTTTAATACTAACGAGATAAGTCTCCCAATTGAATAATTGCTTTTGAGTTGGAAATGTGTATGTCATCTAGATTCTAATGAGTTATGAAGACTCTCAGAAGAGTTCGAGTTCTTAACTCAATGCCGTGGTTCACCTCAGGAACATTAGGAGAACTATGTGTCGATTTTTGAATTAAACTTTGCATACAGATAGGCCTTAGTGAGAATAGTTTGTTGTCAAAGCTTCAGATCTTTCGATTTGTTCCTACGCCAATATAAGAGAATTGAATCGACCGACATATATGAGTGAAACGCTTTTATGATAGCCGCATCTTAAGAAAGGAACAACGAAAATACCTGAAACTTGAACAATAAACTATTCTAGTTAAGGTCTGAAATTTTCAGTTAAAATTCAAAAATCAGTTTTTCTAGCGTTTCTGAGCGGGATCACAACATTGACTTAACAATACGATAAAAATGCACTATCTCCACACTAATAAACCGAGGGCCCGAACTCACTTCCCTTGTAAAACTAAATTGGTTCGGTTTAATAGAAATCATTACAGAGGCTGTTAAAAATTCTAGAATTGAGATATAATCTATCTGCAGACTATTTGGCTTATAAAAGAAACTTTTAATTACATACGGATAAATTGGATAGTGATATTTATGTTTAAGTGAATGCCCAGGTAACAGAAATAAAATTGTGTGCATTATACAATTGAGACAAATCTAATTTTTAGATATCGATAGAGACGTATTTGAAGTTTTTTTCCTATTAAAATTCTCATTTAGTTTGATCGAAGGAAAAAAAGAACAAATATATCTATAATTTTTGGAGAACTGAAGCTTTCTCCAATTGAAATTGTAATTTCGATAATATAAGAAATTTCACTCTATTTATCTATAATATATCATTTTAGGCCATACAAAACTCATTTCAGACATATGTTATTATGATCCTAATGGTTGTTATATTCTTTCGTGTTCAGCTGATACAGATATTCGTTTATGGCGTTCATTTTCTTCGAATTCTGTAACAATTTATCGTTCTCATCTTTCACCTGTATGGTGTTTATCTGTACATTACAAATCCGATCGTTTTGCATCCGGTTCAATGGATAAAACAGTTCGTCTCTGGACACCAGACCGATTAAATATTCTTCGGACATTTATCTATCATTCAGACGATATAAATACAATAACATTTCATCCAAATGGAAAATATTTAGCATCTGGTTCTAATGATGGTTTAATTATTTTATGGGCTATTGAACAAGCTCAACCAGCACGTATTCTTAAATCTTTATCAAATATTGAACAATTAACATTTACATCTGATGGCAATCATCTTATTTCAATAAGTCATAATAATGAACAAAAGTCAGATAGAATTAGCATTTGGGATATACGTTCAGCTAATGAAAAATATCTCATTGAAAATATTCCTAGCCATCGTCGTCTACTTAAATCATGTCAAATACAAAACACACATAAATTTGTAACCGGTTTTAATAAATCATTTTTATTTTTTGATATCAATAATCAACAAGAAAAAAATGATATTTTTCGTTCGGAATTTTCTAATGAATATATTCAACGTTTAATACATTTTTCATCCAATGAACCAAATAAATTAATAGCGATAGTTGAATAAAACAAAACAAAATTAAAAAAAAAACTTTTTTTATTGCTATTATTTTGTTTTAGATGACGACTATTAGACAACGTCGAAAGCCTGTTATACCTATTGAAATAGTTCGTGATTTAGATGCATTTGTTAAAGTTGAAAATGACTTTAAACAACCGACAACAACAGGAGGAACAAGTAAAAAAAAAATCAATATAGTTCTTTTGTTTTTATCTATTTCTAAATAACCATCATTATTTAGTTTCGATTATTACCATTATTGTTGTAATTTGCTTAAGTATTGTACACATTGCTACATTTCAAAGTAATACACTTAAGTATGATTATGATGTCGATTGGGATCATGACAGTAAACTTAAAATTAATATTGATATGACTGTAGCCATGAGTTGTTCATGTAAGTATATATTTAATTGACAAATTCAATCAATAATTATATACACTGTTATTTTAAGCAATTGAATTGTTAAATGTTATTTCTTAGCGTTTGTTCTAATTTTTTTAGCATAGCATTAACGCTACTTATTTTTTCTAATAGGTTATTGAAAAGTAATTTAACAAAAAGTTCGTTCATTTTTTTAGACTCTTAAAAGAGTATGCAGAAATTTCAAAACATTAGGTTCGAATCAGAATTTCGTGTCCTTTTTTAATCTGGGTTCAGAATTTTTTCTAAGACTTCGGATTTAAGAATTATGAACTGGCCTTTTCGAGCCCTGTGAAATGAGTTTGAACAAACTGTAGCACATCAAAACTTACCGAAAGTAGAAGTGAAAATTATTTCAAATGAAATGAACAAAAGAGCAAACATTTTTCTATAAAATCACATACTAATAATTTGTTTGCTGCGAGCTATTTGTCAACAGCGAGTGTGTCAACAAGGAGTATCGTGTCAATTTTCTTGATTTCTATGAAAAACAGACTTGCAAAGTAAACCTGATCACTCTTGATTCTCATATTACTTTGTAGAGACCGATACAGTTTTTATTCTATGTAAAAGAAATGTCAATATTGTCCATCGCAACTTAATTTCCGTACCTCTAACAGAACGAATCACAATCTATAAATCCTAGAAAACTGTTGAACTTATATCGGAAACAATACATAATCAATGTTTTCAAGATTTCTGCGGTCTGTTTCTGAGAGGCTAAAAAATCGATGCATATATTGTCAAATTACTTGTCGATAACCCGTTATTATACAGAATTATTTTTTTGCTCAAAAATTTCAGTCTTAATAATAATCTGTTTTATATTGAATACATTTTTCATGTTGAAATACAAAGGAATTCACAGGAAAGTTCCTTGTCGAAAACAAAACTCTATAACAATAATTAAATTCAGATTATAATACATTATCAGTGTCTCCTATGCACATAACCTCAAGTGTAAATTTTGACAAAAAACTAAATATCATCATGATTTCTGTATTCAAAAACAAATAAATAATATAAAAATATTCTTCATATTAAATTCTAATAGTAATTGGTTCAGACGTACTTGATGTTACAAATACAAATCCATTGGAAAGGTAAATTTTTATTAAGTAAATTCAAATTTAAAATATTTTCTTATGCATTAGTGGAAAATTAGACGAAGAAGACACATGGTTTGAATTATCTCCTCGGCAACAAAGAGCATTTAATAGTCTACAAGCAGGTTCTAAATTAATACGGCAACAATATCATGCTATTCATGATTTACTTTGGTTAAGTGGTCATACTATTGAACAATTACCTGAAAGGTAAAAAGACAACGAATTTGAAAATTTTATAACAAAACAAAATGTCAATAATAATAATCTCTTTTTAGAGAAGTAAAACTTGATCGAAAACCGGATGCATGTCGACTTCATGGTACATTAGAAGTTAATAAACTTGCGGGAAATTTTCATATTATTCTTGGAAAGTAAGTTATAATTTTATTTCTATTTCTATAGTAAATGATATGAATCTTGAACATGTTCAATACAATTCTTATTTCATAGATTTGACAAAGATGATTTCGATTTTGATTTAAGCCATAGTCATTCTCTTAATCTTCACGGTCTTTCTCAAATAAAAAGCATGTTTGTTTTTCTCATTCGTTTCTTCTTTTTGGGGGCTATCAAATTATTATTTTGTTTTGGTAATTTGTATTATGATTTTTTCTTTAATTGTCTAGATCATTTTCCTTTTTTGGGGCACATGCGCATATAAGTCCAATGGGTGTACAGGGTATGGTCTACTTTATATATAGCGAGTGATCCAAAATTAATGTCACCATTAGTATTTTACTCCCATTTCTCTTATTGTCTTGACTATTCGAATTGAGTTTTTTCAAAAGATTTCACATTAAGTTCTATATAAAAATCAAATAACTTTAATATAGTTTGGTTGTTCAATCATTTTCAGATAATGAAAAGTAAAGATCTTCAAAAAATTATTTTTTCTAAAAGCGAAAATGGCAAAGGCTCAACAAAAGTTTTTCTAGACTTGAATGGCACTGTAGGTCATCGAACAATTAAACAATACTGCAAGGTAACTTCCAAAACTGGCTCTGTTAATTTTTCAACACCATCTGGACGTTCATGTACAGTTCGGACTGAAAGAACCATTCAGAAAGTAAAAGTGTTTCCAAAAAAATCAACTATCTGCCCGTGAACTTATCATCAAATGTCAAATATCCAATACAATTACTCGTCGAATTCGTAGAGATGATTTACACCTACGACTCTACAAAGTGCCAGTCGAATCAGTTATTATTGGGGAACAAAAGGTCAAATGGGTTCAATTCTTAAATTGGATGCGGAATAATTTTTCAAAAGAAGATAATAAGCATTTTTTTACTTTTAAAGTGGTTCCTGCAATTCAAACTGTATGTGGATGTTCAGATGATTTTGGAAATTATCTTACTCCAACATTTCATTTTTCGAAGACCTACAGGAACATTTAAGCCATGCAAGGCTGTTGTTAGGCCTTCGCCTTTTTTTTTTAGAAAAAAAAACAAATTTCTGAAGATGCTTAGTTTACATTATCAAAAAATGATTCACCTAACAAACTATATAAAAGACTTATGATATTGTACAGAATCAAACAAGGAATCTTTTGAAAAAAAGCCGAAGTCGAGTAATCAAGGAAATACGGTAAATAGGAACAAAATACTAATGGCGCCATTATTCCTGGATCACACATAATATATACACCTTCGATATTTGTTTTGATAATATTTATATTTATTATTTTAGCTTTGAATTTTTCTCATCGTATTGATCATCTTTCATTTGGTTTGCCAACACCTGGTCTTATTCAACCATTAAATGGCGATTTAAAAATAGCAAATACTGGTAAATAATGAATTTTCTTAAAAGTATATTTATATTAACTATATTTTAAAGGTTCACAAATATTTCAATATTTTCTTGAAGTTGTACCAACTGTTGTTCAAACAAGTTATTCAAATGTTGAAACATATCAATATGCAGTAACAGAAAAGGTATTTAACCCCTTTGAGAACAGAGTTCATTTTTTTGTCAATCTATATAATAAAATACAGAATTACTCGTGTAAAAAAATGTCAAAAGAAAGCGATTCAAACTTGGTTTATTTCTGACTTGTTCTACATTCACTGTTTCTAAAGCCATCGACACATTAGAAGACCCCGGATCTTCTATTGTCTTATCGTTCATAAGTTATAAGGGGAGTCTTCTACTATGTCCCTCAAAAAATCATAATTTTTGCACACATGTTAAACTCGAAACTTGAATTCAATTGAAATTTCACGTTTCAAGTTCCAGCTTTCAACTAATTTTACAAAGGAACACGTCTCGTATGTCTCTAGACGTGGATACCACGTAAGGACTCACGCCGCATCTCTCTCAGCGTGGGATGCATGTAAGCTTGAAAGTTGAAACTTTGAATCTCAATTGAATTCTAGTTTTAAGTTTTACACTACTGATTATATCTCCGTATCATATACCATAACTTTCTTCTTTTCTAAAGAATAAGACCTGTCACGAATAACATTTAACCTTCTCAATAATTAATTAACTGGAAAAAAGAAAATTTATTTTGTTTTTTTGTGTCAAAATCATTTAAGTCAGTGGCTTTTGTTGAGGTTTAATTAGTATAGATGGAACTCGTTCACAGTAAAATCTATCGCTAACGTGATTATTAGTCTAAAGCTACATCTTCAATCAATAAAGTCGTCTTGTGAAGAAAATGTTCATAGAAAAACAATGGTTTAATACATATTCTGTGTTTTTCTTTGTATCATTTTCAAAAAATACTTTTAGATCTTATTGAGAAAAGAAATCCATTGTCATACTCATAAGAATTACTCACAGAACAAACGTTGACATCTATATATGCAGTTACGTTTTCTTCAATTATAAAAGACTATCTTGTTATAAACACTTTTCTGACTTTTTAGAGGAAAGTCAAAGGTACAGAGATCTCTTAAAAATACATAACGTAATTTCACGTAGTATGCTATTATTTGACAAAGATCTCTTCATGAATTACGCGCGCAAATATAGCACTGCGTCCATTACAGTTCATGACCATAGGAACCTTTGTTTCTTATAGGGAATCTGAAGAATTTTTTCATAATAACCTGTAGAGGAACACTAAAATGATTCCACGAGATGTTTTCAATAGATAAACAGATTCTTGAATAGACTGTTAGTTCCTATTAGCTATTTCTCGAAATTTCTCTGACGCAGAACTGACAATTCGTTATGACAATGGAAGCAAATCTTGTCTCTACTGAACTTAAATATCGTTATATGGTTAAATACTGAAAAGGTCAATAAAATTGAGAAGTCACTTTAAAAAAATTGATTTTCTAAAGGAAGTCTTCTAATATGTCTTTTGCTTCATTTATCCAAGGGGGTGGGGGTGTTTTCTAATGTGTCAAGTGCTTTACCTAATATATATTACCTTTTAATCTATGTTAATCATAAATACCAAAGATAAGCGCTCAGGTCAACGAGTCCTAAAGTTGGATCCGATGGGATATTCGTGATAATCCGACAACTTCCGACAGGAATTTGACAATTTCCCATAGGAAGTTGTTGAATGTCGGATTCGACAGCTGGAAAACGTCGGATACACCTACTATCCGATAGGATCCAATGGGATCATGTTGTATTTACATCTGGACATTACACATTGCTTGAATTCTTCCTCCCTCCAGTACCTTCTTCTGGTACAATTAGCTGAAATCTAACAGATTAAATCTATTTTATTTTAACTTATTATTATTTTTCATCTATGAGATTGAAAAATGAAAAAAAAATTTCATAAGTTTTATATCAAAAACAAGAAAAAAATGGCATTTCAGGTGATAAAACATACATGTACATTAAAATTTATGTATTTCAATTTCATTAATTAAAATGAGAATTTTAATCAATCAATTTGAAATGCATCAATTTTATTTGTCTTTCGTCAATGTCATGCACTCTGTTATTTTTTTTTGATTTTCAGGAAATTGTTCAATAATAAATTTAAAAATAAAGAAAAAAAGATAGAATCAATAATTTATACTCGCTTTCGATTGACTTCATTCTGTAATATAATCGGAATTGAAAAATGAAATAAATTATTTATACTCACTGCTCGTTGAGTTGTATAGTGCCCTTCGGGATCATAAACAGCGGTTTAGAAGCGTGAATGTTTTATCTAGGATAGTGAAAAACAGCTTTGTGTCGTCATAAAAAGTATTCAAAATATATTTCACATACTGTCTAACAATCACAAAAAGCAAAACTAGATACTTTAATACCACTGAATTTCCTCGCATCTGACGAGGTTACTTCGATCATGGCGTTTTCGTCTCAACACAAAACTCACAATTTTTCATAATTGTTTACATTATTCGTGTTTACAAACAATAAAGTTCTCATTGAATCCAAGCCATCTAAATATAATAAATTCGGAATCTCTATCTAAGATGCTTAATATTGAGAAGTTCTAATTACGGTAGAAATCGATTGAGTTTTTAATCCATTTTCTAGATAGTTTTTCTAAAAAAATCAGTTTCAATTTATTACCACCGAACAAAATCTATTATTTCATTGCACTTAATCTGAAAGTGCCATATGTAATCGATTTTCTTGTGATTATTGTACGAAAACCAATTAAAATCTGTTTTTTCACGATTTAATTTACATGTGCAAAGCATGAAGTTGCTACTAGACTAAAGTCAGACAATTAAAGGGAAGTAAGAACTCCTATATAAATTTTTTCAAATTGAGACGACATATTTACATCACGAATTGATTTACTTTGCAAAATACATGGGGATCCAGAAATATTTCGAAGTTAAGATTAGATGTGATTGTTCACAATTCAAATCTTTCATAATCGATCTTTATGATTGCAGTTATCCTTCTTTTTTTATTGTGTATAACCTGTACATATAAGGCAGTGTAGATGAGTAAGTTACACTTGTTTTCGCAATTAATTAGATCGAAAAGTAAAATTAAAACGTTTTTTCATTACTAAATGAAACAGATTCATGAGAAAATTCGTCATGATAAATCAGATTAAAACCAATTAGAAACATACTGTTGAAGTAGATTGAAATATGATTCCTTTAGTCTTAAGATAGATTAAACAAGAAATCGATTTTTTAGACTTTCTTCAGATTGTTCAGGTAAAGCAATTAAATCATAAACTTTTAATCAATTAGAAAGCAACTGTTATCAAAAAACATAATCAAAAAAAGAAAGCCTGCAAACAATATCGTTGTTGTTTGATAATAAATTGTAGAATCGTTATATCAGGATTCTCTGATCCGCATCAATTATTATAACTGGAGTGCAAGAGAAAAACAAACGAGGTTTTGATTTTTTTTTTTCATTATTTTTGATTATACACGATTCCTAACCGGTTAATGATCGATTAAAAGTGCAGGGTTTAAATCTAATTATTTTATATGGATCGAGAACTGCGTAAAAAAGAGATTTAATAAATGTTTTTAGAAATCAATTAAAATAGATTTGATTTCTAATCGATTACTTAGACTACTCTCAACGTAATAGTTTTCAATTCATTACTTTTAAAATCGATTTTCCAGATTACTTACCGAAAAAAATCGATTATAGTTGATTATCGTCGAACAAAACCTATTATTTCATTGAATGTAATCTGAAAGAGCCATATTTAATCGACTTTTTGCGATTATTGTGCGGAAATTAACTTTAATTTGATTTTCAGACCCTCTTTTTACATCGATAATTAGAGTGAATTAATTTTTATTTTTAACCAGCGCTATAAGTCTTTCAAACATATATATTTTGCTCGTACCAAATCATAGTAAGATCAATGATAAATAGTACGCATTAATAGATTTGATTATTCTGGAAGCGGAAATACCTATATGCATCTTTCGTCGCAAAAAGGCTTATTGAAATTAAAAAAATTGTTTGTTTTTATTTCTTAGACAAGAACTATTGATCATAATAGTGGTAGTCATGGCATACCAGGCATTTTTATTCGATATGAAATAAGCCCTTTAAAAATAACTGTTAAAGAAATTCTTCAATCATATTGGTTATTATTAATTGAAATTGGTGGTATTTTTGGTGGAGTTTTTGCTACATCAGGTAGTTTGATCAAAGTTATTTCAAATTCTAGTTAAATGAAATTTTTGTTTGGTATTTATTCTTTAGGAATGATTCATAGTTTAATTAGTATAGTTTATGATGCATTATCTAAACAATGTTCGAATGCTCAATTAAGAGAGGATATAAGAAAAAAATCAACGAACGGAGATCAGACAACAACAGTTGCTATTGGCATAACGCCTGAATCATCATCTATCATGTGAAGAGAACAATTGAATCTTTTTTATATTATTTTTTTTTCTTCTCTTATGTGATATTTATTGTTATAATAGTTTGTTTTTTGTTCTTTGGTGATTCTAGAAGACATAATTTAATTCAAAATCTAATGTCACATTGATTTAATACCATTTATTCATATGATTTAGTGTGTCAACAAAAAGAAAAAGACCATTCTTTTGCATTAAAAATAAGTTGTACTTGCTCACAAAGAAAAATATTGTCTCATCGATAATCGATCACGAAAGTGGATGAACGCACACACAAACACACATATATAGATGAGAAAGCAAAAGCTCTTCGATGAGTGTTCTACGAGAATGATAATGGATTGAATAGGAAAAGCAATGTCGTGCAGAACGCAAGTCCAACTACAGAAGTAGTAATAATAATAATAATAACAAAGTTTTCTCTTGTGTTGTTGATGACACATCGGTTGGCAAGAGCAAACCCACGATAGCGTTCAATGTTCTTGTCGCATCATACTGGCATCGAATAGAACTATACTCATTCGATGATCACTAAGCTAACAGAATGAAAATATAGAATCATCGTATTTCATGTTCTTGACAACACATCAACGATAGAATTAGAAGAAATACATCCTAAATATTCTCATGAGTATTTTCTTGTATATGCATTTTAATTTATTGTTTATTTATTTTGTACACATTAAAATTATTCAATGTACTTTAAATGTCCCTGTCGGTAAGATTAATTTTCTTTAAATGAAATAAACAATGAACATTTACATAATTCCAATAGGTTTCATATTTCATGGATATGATGAACAACTTTATACTCGTATGAATTCATTAGCTCGTGAATTTGTTTTTAATAAAATCGAACGAGATTTTCAATACAATATAATTGAAATTGTGGATACACCAAATTCTGATAATTGTGAAAACAATCCATGGTCAACATTATGTAATCAATTATCAAATGGAGTGATGTCTATAATAGGTCATATAAACTCTAATGATCTTGATTGGTTATCTGCGTTTTGTTCACCATATCAAATTCCATTTCTTAATTTAGATAATAATAATCATTTAAGAAATAATTTTTCTATATCATTAATGCCTGATATTTTATCAGCATTAATTACAATTATACGTCATTATCAAATAACTCAACTTGTTTATATATTTGATGGTATTGATGGTGCTCATCGTCTTAAACAACTCATACAAATTCAAACATCAAATGTAATACCAAATTTAAATATAATTAGTCGTTATTTAGATAATCCCGATGATTCATATGATTTATTACAAAGTGTTGAAATCGTATCACACACAGAAATGCATACACTGTCATCAATACATTCAAATCCAAAAACTCAATATCGTTATATTGTTTTAGATTTTCATACATTTGATACATATCGTATAATGTTAGATAAAATAAAACATCGTAGTATGACAACATCATATTATCATTATATATTACTTACATTAAATGCTAAACAACTTGATATGACTTATTTTCATTATGGTGGTGTTAATGTAACATTTTTTACTTTACCATCATATTATGATCAACAAACAAATCAAAATTATATTGATTTATTAAAAAAAGATAAACTTTTTTCAGTTGAATCATTATTACTTGCTGATGCATGGGAAACATTACTACGTACAATAAATCATATGTTAAATTCAACAGATGATGCATATGAACAATTAAAAGTATTTCAGCAAGAAAAAATTTCAAATGAATTAACACAACGTATTGATTGTCAACATAATTATGATCCACCATGGTTACCAGGAAATACTTATTTAGAACATATACTTAATACAAAATTTCAAGGTTTAACAGGAAATGTACAATTCTCACATGTAACTGGTCAAAGAATAAATTATACATTTGATGTTTATCGATTAGCAGGCAGTGATATGCCAAAACGTATTGGGTTTTTTCGAGCACCAGATACTCTTGAGGTAGAATTTTTTATTAAAAATTTTTTTAAAATGAAATATTAATTAAGTTTAATATTTATGTGTATATGCGACGGAAGACTATCAACTTATATATTTTAACATATCGATAAAACCATAATTTTTTTTTCTATGAGATAAGTTATGAAATCGTATAAATAGTAAAAGTAAATCTCAATAAGATTAAATAATAAAAGTTTATTTATAAAGTAGTACTCGGTATCTTGCAACAAATTTAATCAACTATTTTTGTTTACATACATTTTATATAAAAATAAAAACAAAACTTATGCCAATGATAATATGTACATCACTGTAAAAAAATAATGGAGAATAATAAACCCTTCGCTTGAGGGTCTATTCTGTTCATATACTCAAATAAGGTTTATGAACACATGAAATAATACAATAGTGTATTAATTTGCAACGGGTCACAAAATCTTGACAAGATTTAGAAAAAAAAGAGTTTATCTCATGACAATAAATGGATAGTAAGGGTTTATTATTTTTCAACTTTCTTGTTACAGTTATCTGAATATTATTCTAAATATTATAATAGACTTTATTAAATCTGTTCTATACTTGTATTTGATGGGATCTATTGAACATAAGAGCCCAAATCTAGAAACTTCAGATTCGATGTGCTCTAACATATCGGTGGTTTTCTTATATCTAATAATAAACTTACATTTAGAAATACATTTCATGTGTCGTTGAAGACCTATTCTTAAAGTAAATATTTCCAACTAATGGAGAGAACAATGTTCAAAACCAGAGACTATTTCTTTTTAGATGAAAATTAGTTATACATAAAGATATAAATCGAATGAGACATAAGCACTAGATAGAATTTTCGATTACTATCTTGAAGTTTAAAAAATGACTAGGGGTGCAACTCAGCACTGGAGACAGAAGGGAAGAGGCATTGCGTGGACAATTTTCAAAAGCAAGGCACATCACACCCCAAAAAATGAGACAAATATAACCGAAGATATTTATTAATTTTGACTATAATGATAAAGTTGACTTAGTTGTATTCATATTTATAAATTCAAAATTTTCTTCATACGTGCTGAAAATATCATTATGATATTTATAAATGGGTTTATAAAAATCTTTTTCATACAATGTTTCAATATTCTTACAGAGATGAAAATCGAATATGTTTTTGTTCTTTTGTATTCTGTTTAGGTTGCTGATAATGTATCATATCAGTATCGTATGTTATTTGATAATCGTACACGTTTAATTGTAACTATATTCGATGAACCATTTATGATGTTAAAAAGAAATTCAAATGATACATTAACTGAAAGAGATATTCCACGTGGTACTATACTTGATCCATCTCGTGTTGAAGGTTTTTGTGTTGATTTAGCTTATGCTATATGTCATGATCGATTAAAATTACCATATAAATTTCTAATTGAAACAAAATATGGAAAAGAAATAGAAAAAGGTATTTGGGATGGTATGATTGGTGCATTAGTTAATCGTGATGCTGATTTAGCTATAGCATCATTAACAATAAATGGTGCACGAGAAAAAGCTGTTGATTTTTCAAAATCATTTATTGATTTAGGTATATCAATAATGATAAGTAAACCTGAAAAACAAAAACCAGGTGTTTTTTCTTTTATGGATCCATTATCAACACAAATTTGGATATGTGTTATTGTTTCATATTTATTTGTTAGTGGAATATTATTTTTTATAAGTCGATTTTCACCTTATGAATGGTATTTTGAAAATGAATCGGACCTTGTACCACGAAATAAATTTTCTCTGCATAATGCGTTATTTTTTTCATTTGCAGCATTCATGCACCAAGGTGTTGATCTTTTACCACGATCAATGTCAGGTTTGATTGAAGTTTTGTTTTTTTATTTTTTCCTTTTCTTCTCTATATGATGGGCTCTTTCTTTTTTGTGTCTTAGGTCGAGTTGTAACAAGTGCATGGTGGTTTTTTAGTTTGATTCTTGTATCATCATATACAGCTAATTTAGCAGCTTTTTTAACTGTTGAAAACTTAGTTCCACCTATTGAAACTGTTGAAGATCTTGCTAAACAAACGGATATTCATTACGGAACATTAAAAGGCGGTGCAACAATGGCTTTTTTTAATAAATCAACATTAACAACATTTAAAATAATGTGGGATTTTATGCAACAACATAAGGATGATGTATTTGTATCATCAAATAGTGAAGGTATTGAAAAAGTCCGAGGATCAAAAGGTAAATTTGCTTTTTTACTTGAATCAACATTAAATGAATATGTTAATGAACGTGCCCCATGTGATACAATGCGTATTGGTGAAAATATTGATTCAAAAGGTTATGGAATAGCTACACCACTTGGTTCTGATTTACGTGAAGCTATTAATATAGCTGTTTTAGAATTAACTGAAAGTGGATTTCTTGAACGTTTAAAACAAAAATGGTATTACGAAAGAAGTCAATGTACAAATTCAGGCTCAAAAGATTCAAAACAAAGTACACCACTTAATTTAGCTAATGTTGCTGGTATGTTTTATGTATTAATTATTGGTCTTGGAACTGCAATGGTTATTGCATTTATTGAATTTTTATTTAAAGCTAAACTTGATTCAAAGCGTTTAAATCAAAATATTCGTGAAGTTATGCGAAGAAATTTAAGAATATCAATAACTGGTATTGATTTTGATGAAAAATTACATAAAGATGAGTATTGGCCATTGAAACAACAACAATTAGTTCCTTCATCATCATTTCCTCAAAATATTCTTCGTAATGAACGAACACCAACTAAAAAACAAGTACATTTGATTTAACAAAAACGAATAATGAAACAGATGTTATGGTTCGAGGACATAAATACAATCATGTTTTGCATGTATAATATTCATTAAATATATAACTGTGACATATATATTGCAGCAATTTGTATGAACTCGAAACGTCATGCATTTGTTGAAATAGATGCTGATTATTATCAAAGTATAACTCTAATACTAAAAGATATGAGTGCGTTACATTATGATGAATATGATCCATTGGATA